CCTGCCATGGCCTCAGAGCATGCTCCCTTCCACCCTCACACTTGGGTACCCCCAGCTCCACCCCTGAGAAAGGTCCCCCTGCTCTCTGGCTGTGCCCCCCTTCTCCCTCTCATGGGAACCTGGCCCCCCAATGACCACACTCTTCACCGAGGGCAGCTGGTGTCACCTGGACTCCGGGTGGCTTCCTTCTCTTCACTCATTGATACTTTTTTTAGTGGTAGACATGTGACCCATCACCTGTATCACCCTTCAAGGAAAGACTTCAGCCCAACTGCCAGCAGTACTTGGAGTGGACACCTTCCACTGTCAGATGCTCTAGGGCTGCCTCAGCTGCCGACAGCATTTGGCCAAGGTCACAGCCTTCTAGGGGTGGCCTGCCTCTAGCAACAGGGCAATATGGGAGTGAAAGGCCTAGCCATTTGGCTCCACACAGGATACCTCTGACCCCAGAGCGCTCATAAATAAATAAAGAAAGAAAGAAAACAATAACAATGCATTTAGGATTTACAATATATGTGGAGGGAAAATGTGTAATAAAATAGCCAGTGGCCAGGAGAAGAGAAATGGAACGCACTATGGTGAGAGTCTCAGCGTATGTCTGAAGTGCTACACCGTCGCCGGAAGCTGGCTGTGACAAGCTGAAGATATGCACTGTAAATGATAAAGCAGCCACAAAGTAGCACAAGAGCTGTAGCCAATAGGCTAACATGGAAAATAAATCATGAAAACTTCTCAATGAATGCAAAAGAAGGCAGAAAAAGAGAAAGAGGGAAACAGAACAGATGGAGCAAATAGGCAACAAACAGCAAGATGGTGGATTCGAACCCAATCACATTTCTTTCCTGTTTTCTTTTTTTCTGAGACAGAGTCTCACTCTGTCACCTGGGCTAGAGTGCAGTGACATCATTATCATACCTCACAGCAACCTCAAACTCCTGTGCTCAAGCAATCCTGCTGCCTCAGCCTCCTGAGTAGCTGGGACTACAGATGTGCACCACCATGCCCAGCTAATTTTTCCATTTTTCTTAGAGACGGGGTCTCACTCTTGCTCAGGCTGGTCTTGAACTCCTGACCTCAAGCAATCCTCCCGCCTCAGCCTCCCAGAGTGCTGGGATTACAGGCATGAGCCACCACGCCTGGCCTATTTGTCCTTTTCTATGCTTTGTTCTTTGGAAGCTGGTTACAACATCCAGCACACACTCAAGGCTCCTCCAACTTTTTAGCAGAAGTGTCAATTAAAGATATACTAACTCTGTTTCATTACTTTACATAGCACGTGTAGGGAAAGGTCCTTGTGTTTTAGCTCCTAGGTCTCTGCACTGAAGACCCACACTCGTAGGTTGCACCTGAGAAAGTTCATCTGCACCTGGACCTGTCTTAGATGCCAAGACCCTGGACTTCAAGCCTGAGGCAGGTGCTGTAAAGTGGTGAGATATTGGGGTCTTGGGAGGGGCCAGAGGGAAGACTGCAGCAGCCTGCTTACATCCATGGCCCCACTGACTCTTGCCTCCTTGGGCTCACCCCTCATCTAGTCCCCTCCATACTGACACTGGGCTTGGCCAATGGGATGCCAGTGAATGAGGCACACAGATGCCTTATAAGACAGGTGCTCCATGGGGTCTGTCCTCTAATAACACTCCCCCTGGAGCCAGCAGCCCAGATAGCCTGCTGAATGGTGAGATGCCACTTGGAGAAAGGCTCTGAAGGATGAGAGGGTATCTTGAACATTCTGGCCTCAGCTAAGCTTCTGGCTGGTGTATGCACATGAGTGATCCCAAATAACCCTGTGGAGATCCCTTTCTAAGGAGTAAGGAGTAAGTGAAAGAGGGACAAAAAGACCCTGCTTCTAATCCCAATTGTGTTCCTAATCCTCTCCTTTTCTGCCCAGCCAAGAACTGTGTTCTGGCAATGTCCCCTGGACCTGCTTCATAGTAAATCTATATTGGGTCATTCCCATCTGCACACTAATATGCCTTTTTTTTTTCTTTTTTTTTTTTGAGATGGAGTCTCACTCTGTTGCCCGGGCTAGAGTGCCGTGGTGTCAGCCTAGCTCACAGCAACCTCAAACTCCTGGGCTCAAGCGATCCTTCTGCCTCAGCCTCCCAGAGTGCTAGGATTACAGGCGTGAGCCACTGCGCCCGCCCGGCCGCTAATATGCCTTTCAAAGTGAACAAGCAAGACCTTCCTCCTCCAAGCTGCCACCTTGTTTCTCTGCCCTTGACAGTGAAACTTCCTGTGTGATCTTTACTTCCCTCTCACCACCGCCCCCACTCCCCACCACTTCTGCAGTGCTGCTGAGCCCCCTTCTCTGAGGCTGTTCCTGAAGGAGCAGTGCCACTCCTGGTGAGCCCCCATCTTGCTGGACTTGGGTCCCCTCTCCCTTCCTCTCTGGTTTTCTAGCCCTTCCTCTGTGGGCCTCTCCCCTGCCCTTTATCTCTGAAGCCAGGCGCTTTTGTATTGCCAGCAATTTCTCATCCAGGGCTTTGGCTGTAGGGACCTCAGGGGGGACAACAGTGTCACATCTGTGCTTCCCCTTTCCCCTTCTCTCCATGGCCTTCTGCTTTTCCAAATTCCCTTGACAAAGTCCCACACACCTGGTCTAACTCAGAACTCCTGACTGCCAGCCCTCCCCAACACCCCCCAGCCCCAGCGCCCAACCAGAAACCCAGACTTACCTGGAATTGCTCTTCTCTGTGGCCCATGCCCAGCCTGCCAGCAAGTCCTGCCCACCTGCCTTCCAGCCGTGGCTTGTACCTGCTGGTGATCCCTGCTCCTCTGCTCCTCTTGCTGCCTGGCCCCTTCTGTCCTTACACAATTCCTGCAACCTCAGGGTCCTTTTCCATCACTCCTTCCCTGGAGCATAGTGCATCTCTGCTTACAACTCTCCAGCAGTTTCCCATTGCAAGGAGGACTAAAAATTCTGCCTGCTCTTTCCAGATTATCTCGGACCTCCTTCCCCAAGTCCTCTCCCCTGTGACCGGCTTTGTCTCCTTGCAGCTTCTTGAGAACATGCAGGTCAGTCCTGTGTCACACCCGTTGTGCTTGTTGCCCCTTCTGTCCAGAATGCTCTCCCCTACAGCTTGTATCAACTCAAAGGCCACTCCCAGGAAAGGCCTTTCCTGAGCCCCTAGCTAGAGGGACCCTACCCCTCCTCCAGCCACTTTGGATACGTAGAAGTTAGCTCTGCATTCTGGGTTCCCCTTAGGTCATCAGCTCCAGAAGAGCAGGGACTTTGCCTGAGTTAAACTAAGTCCCTAACACAAACCCTGGTAAAAGTTGAGTACTGCCACTCTGGGGACATCTTAGGCCCCATCTTCTGGGGGAAAGGGGGTCCTTGCACTTGTGCCATTACTAACAATTCCTCCAGGGACTACCTAAAGCAACTATAACAGCCCCCAGACCATGCTCCAGCAATGGGTGGGGGTGCCCATGTGCCCACTGGGTCTGGCCAGCCTTGGGGTTAGAGGTTGACCCAGTGACTCCGAGTCATGGTTCCAGGCAGGGCTGGCTTCATGGGCGTGTGACAGGGCACCAAGCTCAGGGCCTTGTGCTTGGTTTAATGCTCTGCTGTCTCCATCTTGAAATTCTTCACAACTTTATTTTTATTTTTTATAGACAGAGTCTTGCCATGTTGCCCAGGCAGGCCTCGAACTCATGGCATCAAGCCATCCTCCAGCCTTATCCTCCCAAGTAGCTGGGATTACAGGTGCATGTCACTGTGCTTACTTTCTTAATAACTTTTTTTGTTTTTTTTTTTTTGAGACAGAGTCTCACTCTGTTGCCCTGGCTAGAGTGAGTGCCGTGGCGTTAGCCTAGCTCACAGCAACCTCAAACTCCTGGGCTCAAGTGATCCTACTGCCTCAGCCTCCCAAGTAGCTGGAACTACAGGCATGTGCCACCATGCCCGGCTAATTTTTTCTATATATTTTTAGTTGTCCAGATAATTTCTTTCTATTTTTTTTAGTAGAGACGGGGTCTCGCTCTTGCTCAGGCTGGTCTTGAACTCCTGAGCTCAAAGAATCCGCCCGCCTCGGCCTTCCAGAGTGCTAGGATTACAGGCGTGAGCCACTGCGCCCGGCCTCTTAATAACTTTTTAACAACGGGCTCCAAGTTTTCATTTGGCATGGAGCCCTGCATATTATGTAGCCACTCCTGGTTCCAGGAACACTTAACTAACACAATGCCCAAAGACCTGGGCCAGCAGCATGCTGACCAAGACAGCCAGATGGACAGTGCCAGGCACTGTTCCTCCCAGAACCCCATGGCCCACTGCCTTCTCTGCTCCCATGGCCGCCCCCAGAGCCCAGGAGGCCTCAGGTATTAGAGTCAGAGCTGAGGGGTTCTGCTGGACAGGGAACATGGGACTGGCGTTCCAGCAGGCACATAGAGCAAGTGCTGTGGTCACCACAGGCCTACCCGCCCCCCCGGGAGGCCTCATGCCCTGGCCTAAGAGGTATGCAGAAACAATTTTGGGGAGTATTTAGTCCAGGATGCATCCCCAGGCACAGGGCTTGCTCTCTGGCTCTACCCCATCCCACTGCTAGCTGGACTAAGAAGAGGCAGGCACCTGACCCAGACTAGACCAGTCAGATTTGGACTCCTGGATTCCACTCATTGGCCAGCACCTCTGAGGTCAGGTAGGGCCAGTTAAGTGTGCTGGCCAAGAAGGGCAGCAAGTCCTGAGCCTACTTGGTGATGGGTCCACTCTTCCAGGCCTGCCTGCAGCCACCCTTGCTCCACCTCCCATCTGGGATTTGCTTCTGTTGGCTGCAGGGGACATGCTCCCTGAGGCCCTGGGCAGTGTGCACTGGTGGAAGGCCCCGGAACAGGAGCGCCTCCCCGCCTCACAACGAGGTCTGGAAACTGAGGCAGCTTTATTGAGAGGAAGGCCAGTGGGTGGGCCTGACATTCTCTCCACCCCAGAGTAAGGATGGGAGGCTACAGGGCAAAGGAAAACACAGTCCTGGGGGTGGGGAAGAAGGGGAGTGCAGGCCTCATAGTCACACCTCCAGGTCGGACTGAGAGAGGCTCAGCCTGTCCCTGTCGTAGACGGGGTTCTTGCGCAACACGATGCCGGGGCTGAAAGCGGCCCCCAGCGGCCAGTGGCGGACCACGTGCCGGTAGGACATGGCCAGGTAGTCGAAGTAGTTAATGTTGAGTTTCCGAGCGATGTAACGGCCCAAGTATTCCATTTGCTGTCGGAGCGGGTGGCTGTCAGCTCCGACCCCGGACAGGACTGGCCCCGCCGCCGCACCCTCTAGGGTTCCCCTCCCCTGACCAGCCGCCTCCCCGCCCCGCCTGCAGCCCAGCGTCTTCTCCTCCGGCTCCCAGCGCGGAGGACCGCGTTGTATTTAGCTTTTGCGTGTGAAATGGCCCCATCCAAAGAAACTAAACAGTGGTCAGTGTCATTTTGTCCTGAGAAGGGGTCGTGTCAGGGGCGGGACTCACCTCGTAGCGCTCTGACAGCTGCACCAGCACCAGCGGCTCCAGCCTGTGGCCGCCAAGGACCAGCTGAAAGAAGCACCTCCCGTGGGCTGGGGAGGGGCGCGGACTCAGCCCAGGCCTCTGGGACGGGGCGGGACAGCAGGCTGGCCTGTCCGCCCCTCCCGCTCCCCAGCAGCCTCCCTCTCCTTGACACACCCTCCCCCGCCCCGTGCGTCACCATCCGAGCTGAGCGCCAGGCGCACGTAGACCAGGTGCATGGGGCCTTGGCTCACGGTGCGGCCCTGTATGGAGAAGTGGTACATGCCGCCCGTGTGGTTGAGCACCAGGCGGCGCCGCGGCAGCGACGAGATGATGAGCCACAGGCCCACGCCCATGCCATACATAGGGAAGCCCCAAGTCTCCTGCTCCTGCACCTGCGGGCGCCGCGGGGACCATCTGAGCTTCATGGGTGGAGGCGGGCGCTCCGGGGGGTGGGGGATGGGGCAGGGGTACTTCGGGAGCTGGTGCGGAGCATCTGGTCCAGCCCTCAGGGGAGGAAGGCCGTGGGGTAGGGCCCAGGACCTCCAACCTGTCTTAGGGAGCTGAAGCTGACCAGGATCACGCAGACGATGAAGAGCAGCGTCCCTTTCCACAACGTGTCGAGGTAGTACTCGAGGACAAAGACTGGGGGCGGCGTGTGGTGGCGCGTGAGGACTGCTGACCCCTGCCCGCAGCCGAGGGTGGCGGTGCCAGGGCTTTGCTGGGAAGAGCCCGCCAGCACAGTACTCGGGGCAGCGGTGTTGTCCCGCCCGCGGTGTCTGAGCCCCAGAGGGTACCGGCCGGTCCCGCCCATGGCTCTGGCCCTGCCCATCTGGCCCCGCCCCCTCCCCCCAGGAGTCTCGCCTCGCCCCGCCCGCGCGCACCGTCTGGCTGCTGCTGCGTGAACGGGTAGAAACTGTTGTTCTTGAGACGCGTGGCCAGGTGGCGCTCGCTGCAGAAGAGTCCTAGGTCCCAGAGCTGGAAGAACTTGCCGCCAGAGGTAGTGGGCAGGCTGCTGGCCCGGCCCTTTGGCGTCTGGGTCAGGTAAAAGCATCAGCCTGGTGGCCTTGCCCGCTACTACCACCCACCGCCTGCAGTAGTGCTCCTACCTGGGAGATCAAATTCTCCAGAACTGCGGTTCAGGAAGGAGCAGGAGCTCGGAAGCAACGGACCGACGGGCAGGGCAGTGAGGCCAGGTAGTGGTCCAGGCTGGGCGGCTCACGGGTTCTAGAAGTTCCAGGAGGCAGGTTCTAGAAGGGGCCACTCTGTTGACCACCCCTGAGGTGGACGTGCACTTCCCGGTCAGATTCCACCCCACTGGAGACCCCCTGTGCAGCCTGGTTTGGTCTTCATCTAAAGGTTGGATGGCTGGACATGCCACCTCTAAGCTGCAGAGAAATCTGCAGGCAGGCAGCCCTCACCAATCCCCATGATGAGCAGGGCCCCACCTCTCCACGGGAACCTCTGCCCCCTACAACCATGGACAGCTCCCCTCAGTGCACCCAAGGGTGGGACACACTCTCAGCCCAAGATTCAAGTCCACCAGTGAGCAGGCAAAAGGTGGCCAGGGTAGGCTCAAGAGCCAGCTGCCCCCCCAACCCCCACAACACAGCCTTTGGGCCAGCTGTAGCCCCCAGGGGCTCCATCAGCTATAATCCTTGTTCCTCGACCCTATCCCAAAGACCAAACAGAGTTCCTAAAAAAACGTTTTATTGTAACAAAATGCTCAAATATTCAAAACTGGGGAAGCATACAGGGTGGAGCAGGCTGGTTGAGGCCTCTGAGGCCTGTAGCTGCTTAGTTGGGGGAGGGAGAAGTGATGAGCAGCTGCTCCAGACACCACTGGACTTCCTCAAGGCCCCGGTAGGCCCGCTTCAGGCCCCTGGGAAGGCAGCGGCAGGACTCCAGGTTGAGGTACAGCAGGCTTGGACAGCTGCTGACCACAGAGCTGTGGGGGCAGAGCAGGCCAAGGGAGCTGAGCTGCTGCCCAGAAGACCCAGGCCACAGAAGGGCTGGGCCAGGCTAGGAAGCGCTGTCTGCTTCTGCTGCACACCTGGCTCTGCCACCCACAGCCATCGAGGCCAAGCCCAGTACCCTTGGGGTCCCCAAGGCCAGGGCCAAGAAGGCATGCACTCCTCTCAGACCCCTGGAGGCCACAAGCCAGATAGGACAGCACTTTTGGGCTCCAGGCAGAGAGGCAAGTGTACTGGCTCCAAGGGACCAGGGGAGGGGGTGCTGACCTGACCGTACTTGGTGTGACGCGGGTACCCCTGAGGTTAAGGGAGCACAGGGCTGGATGTGAGCCCCCACAGGTGCCTGAAAAGGCAGCGAGGGCCTGCTCCAAGTCCTTCTCACTGAATCCCTGGCCACTCAAGTCCAATTCCCGCAGGGTGTGGTACCACTTCTGGGTCAACAGGGGACTGCCCTCCTTTGTTAGAGTCAGCCGGTCCGACATGCCATACAGGCCCAGGTGAAGCTGCTCCAGCTCTAGGTGAGAGGAGTGAGCTTGAGCAGCAGGGCAGGCAAGAGTCCCCAACATCTCACCTGCCCAGCCACCACCCAGGCACAGCTGACCCTGACATGGGAGATTGTGCAGGCCAGCAGGCGTGATACGGGCACAGCCTCGAAGATCCAGCAGGCGCAGGTTGGGGGAACTGTGGAGCAGGCGGCCCAGGACCTCATTGCTCACAAAGTTGCAGGTGGAGCTGGCCAGGCAGAGCTCCTCAAGGCTGGGGAAGCCTGGTCCGAGAGCCACCCCTCGCCCGGAAGGCTTGGGCAGCCATGTGAGGTTCAGCAGCCGCAGCACCTGGGGGTGAGGCCCAGGCTGCAGACAGGAGGGGGGGTGACAGGTGGGAGGGGTGGGGCATCAAGTACCTGCAGCTGGGGGCAGCCTTTCTGCAGAGCTTCAACAGGCAGCTGGAGGGGAGTGCTATTGCGATTGATGCCAGTGCTCACCTCCAGGACCTGGAGCTGAGGGCAGCAGCTGCTCTGCAGAGGGGGGGAAAACACCAGAGTCAGCGTCCCGGCAGTTCCCAGCTCAGCATCTGGCTCTGCTCCTGCCCATCACCAACCTACCATCAGTGCGCCTAAGATGGCTGTAGTCTGGGAGCTGTAGGTCAGCCATAGCTTGCGCATTCGGGGCCCTGCCTCCTCCAAAAAACTCACCACGGCTGTGGACTCCACCTGGGCACCCAGCACAAGAAACCTGTCATCTCAGCCCAGATTTTGTCAGGGCCCCTTGGGACACAGGGCTCACCATAGAGTGCTGTAGGTCCAGGCTGTGGAGCTGACGGCAGGCTTTGGCTAGCATGACCAGAGCATCAGTGGTCACACCATGGCAGTCTGAAAGCTTGAGGAAAGCAAGCCGAGGACAGGACTCACCTACAAGCTTTGGGAAGACAGAGGGCCAACTGGAGTTGGGGGGAGGGCAGGCTAAGGTCCACAAGGGAAAGAAACTGGTGGATGATGCCACCCCACTCTACTGCCTCAGCTATGACCTCCATTTTGCCCATGCCAGGCCTACCTGGGTTCCCCTACCTCCAAGACCTCCCTGCTGGAGGAGACAAGAGGAAAAGCAGGCAGGCATCCCCATGGGGTAGCGTTGGGCCCCAAGGTGCCTGACCTACTTCCTAGAGTACTGGACAACCCCAGTGGGTCATGGCTGGTGTGCAAGGTAGCCTGGAACTCTCACCTGCAACACGGGGTGTACCTGAGACTTCCAGTGGATGAGAGTCAGCCTCTGGAGCTGTGAGAACCTGGGCCGACAGCAGAGGCAGAACTGCACTAGTATCCCCACGTTGCCTCTCCTGTCGGAGTCCTCCCCACCCAACACCGTGGTGAAAGAAGACAGCAAGGGCCTAGGGCTTGCCACACACCACACAGGTGGAGCCAGGGGATAAAAAAAAGAGGCAATCCCTCACCGATTGGGCATAAGCCACTCCAGGGAAGCAAGGAGCTTCTTCTCTGCCTTGACTCCACCCTTGGCAGGGCGGCTAGCCAGCGGGGGCGACAGGGTCACGGTGTGCCAGAGCGCGGGTTGGGAAGCGGCCTCCTGCCAGCGGCGGCACACGCGCGCAGCCCTGGGAGGACAGCTCTGCTGAGGGTGCCGGGCCTACCGGCTGCCACCATAGGCTTCCTAAGAGGGGGTACCTGCCCCGCAACTCGCGCGTGGTGGACACCGCAGCTCAAACCCCGGCTCCTGGGGCTCCAAATGGATCCCCAGAGAGACTGCGCTCCCGGATAGATGTCTGAGCACCAGGGTATGCGCGCTCAGACGCGTTCGCCCTCTGCCCCCGCCACCCGCTCGGACCACTTGCGGTCCAAGCCGCTGCGCTCGACAGGCCGGGGCTGTGGGAGCAGTGATACCTGCCCAGGAAGGGCATGGGCCCATCGGCCGCCACCAGCAGCCCGAAAATCTGCACCAGGATTTCCAAGGGAATGCGGTCTCCCCAGCCAGCGTCGGGCCCCTGCTCGGGCGCGGGCGCCGGCTCCGGCCGGGGCGTGGCCTTGGGCTTTGCAGCTGCGGCGCGAGGGCCCGGGAGCGGCTGCCGCTGAGCGCGGCGGGCGACTCGCCTTTTCGTACGGGCGCGGGCGGGCCCTGGGCCGGGCAGCACCAGTAGCATGCTGTCCGACTGCAGCAGGTGGCACCCGGAGCCGCTCGGCGCCAGCCGATCCCACCACCAGTCCTCGGCCGAGCGGACCCGCGCGCCGGCCAGCGGGGCAACCCCAGCTCTGCGCCGGGCCTGCGGGACGACGGGAGCAGCCATGGCCGCCGACGCCGCTCTAAGGCCCACCCAAGCTGAGCGGAAGGGGCGCGGCCGTGTGCGGAAAGGGCGGGGCACTCCGACCCATTCCCCGCCCCTCAGGCTCACAGAGTGCCCAGCTCGCCGGCACGCGACTTCCGGGGCGGGGCTTACGGCCTGGGCCACGTGGGACGGGGGCGGGCCTGCTAGCGAAGTCCGTGAGGCCGGTCCGGTGAGTTGGGGTCCCGGCTTCCGCCCTGCTGAACCCCAGCCCTGCGGGCGTCGGGTTGGAGTGGCGCCCCCGCGTGGCGCGAAGGCCGACCGCTGGTCGGGTAGCGCGCGGTGTGCTGGGCCCCCGGCGCACAGGGCGGCTTCCAGGGCGCCCACCTAATGCGGCGAGAGAGCGGCCCCTGGGCAGAGCGTGCGCGGCCCGGCCGGGAGTCTGACTTGGCTCCTGCAGTGCTGGGTACCGCACAAGCCCTGGGGCGTGCCTGCCACCGAGGGGCGCCTTGTCCCGGGTCCGTTGGCGGGTGAGGGTGGTGGTGGTGGTTCTGGCAACTCGGAGCCCTGGTCCTCCGTGGGTAGGAGGATCAGCTCCCTCCCCGGAGTCCGCGGCGCCCTGGGCTGACGTCCCGCTTCTCTCCCTGCCGTCATCGCTGTGTTGCGGTCTGGACGCAGGCGGCCGGCGCTACTCGGTAGTTTCAGCCGCGCCCAGCCCCGCCCCGGTCCCGCCCCCGGCGCTCCCTACGGTTCCTCTGGTCTTGGGTGTCCGACCTAGTCGATACTGATCTCAATCCGTCCGGAACGCCTGCCTGTTTCCCTCAAGCTAGAAGAGATCTTCAGTTCTCAGAAGAGCCAAAGCGTCTCTGGACCTAGGTGGGGAAAGAGCTGGCTGTGATCTTTGCCCTGTCCTGGAGGGCCCAGCCTTGGGCTGAATGGCAGCACCCACGCTAGGTCGTCTGGCGCTGACCCACCTGCTGGTAGCTCTCTTCGGCATGGGCTCGTGGGCTGCCGTCAACGGGATCTGGGTGGAGCTGCCTGTGGTGGTAAAAGACCTTCCGGAGGGTGAGTGGGAGGCAGGTGCAGGGAAGCCAAAGCAGGTGTGCCCAGGAAGGTGGGCTGCGGCTGCTCTTTGTCGTGCTGCTGACACGGCCTACCCCCTTCCCTGCAGGTTGGAGCCTCCCCGCATACCTCTCTGTGTGTGTGGCGCTGGGGAACCTGGGTCTGCTGGTGGTGACCCTGTGGAGGCGGCTGACCCTGGACAAGGGCGAGCGGGTCCCCATCCAGGTGGTGCAGGCGCTGAGCATGGTGGGCACAGCCCTGCTGGCCCCTCTGTGGCACCATGTAGCCCTAGTAGCAGGGCAGCCTCACTCCGTGGCCTTCCTAGCATTGGCCTTGGTGCTGGCAATGGCCTGCTGCGCCTCTAATGTCACTTTCCTGCCCTTCTTGAGCCACTTGCCACCTCCCTTCCTACGGTCGTTCTTCCTGGGTCAGGGTCTCAGCGCCCTGCTGCCCTGTGTGCTGGCCCTAGTGCAGGGTGTGGGCCGCCTCGAGTGCCCACCAGCCCCCACCAACGGTACCCCTGGTCCCCCACTTGACTTCCCTGAGCATTTTTCTGCCAGCACCTTCTTCTGGGCACTTACTGCCCTTCTGGTCACTTCAGCTGCCGCCTTCCAGGGTCTTCTACTGCTGTTGCCATCACCACCATCGGCACCCACAGCGGGCCCAGGGCCGGGCCTGCAGGTGGGAGCCCCAGGAGCAGAGGAGGAGGAGGAAGAGAAAGAGATCTCACTGTTGCAGGAGCCACCAAGCCAGGTGGCAGGCACCACCCCTGGCCCAGACCCTGAGGGCTATCGGCTGCTCTCAGCCCGCAGTGCCTGCCTGCTAGGCCTGCTGGCCATCACCAATGCACTGACCAATGGTGTGCTGCCTGCGGTACAGAGCTTTTCCTCTTTGCCCTACGGGCGCCTGGCCTATCACTTGGCCGTGGTGCTGGGCAGTGCTGCCAACCCCCTCGCCTGCTTCCTGGCCATGGGCGTGCTGTGCAGGTACACAAGGGGCCCGAAACCCCTTGGCGGGTGGAAGCCAGGGGTGAAGACCAAGTCCTGACACAGCCAGCCCTAAGTCTCTGCTCACCCCCGGCAGGTCCCTGGCAGGGTTAAGCGGTCTCTCTCTGCTGGGCATGCTATTTGGAGCCTACCTGATGGCACTGGCAGTCCTGAGCCCCTGCCCACCCCTAGTGGGCACCTCTGCAGGGGTGGTCCTTGTGGTGAGCACAGCAGGGACGTGAGATGGGGAGGCGGGTTTACCCTGGAGCAGGGGCATCTCGTGCTCAGCCTACTGCTGTGTCCCCTCTCAGGTGCTGACGTGGGTGCTGTGTCTGGGCGTGTTCTCATATGTGAAGGTGGCAATCAGCTCCCTGCTGCACGGTGGGGGCCAGCAAGCATTGCTGGCAGCTGGCGTGGCCATCCAGGTGGGCTCTCTTCTCGGCGCTGTCGCTATGTTCCCTCCCACCAGCATCTACCACGTGTTCCGCAGCGGAAAGGACTGTGTGGACCCCTGTGGACCCTGAGCCTGGGCAGGAGGGGTCCTCACTCCACTCCTGTCTTCACCTTGAGGCTGCCACAGGCCTGAGTGCCTGTGGCCCAGAGAGGCCCCCCACGTGGCACACTCACAGGCACCTGCACACTCCACAGGAGACCCTGGCACTTCAGGCACCGGGAACAAAGAGCAGGCCTGGAGCCAGGGCTGGGTTGGGGCTGTGGGCTAAGCCCCTGGGCTGGGGACCTATGTGGAATTTGCACAGTAAAACATTCTTACTCAGAGAGTGGGAGTTGTTAGTCTCATGAGCATCTCCTTCTGTGCAGACACCTCCGAGAGCTGGGGCTGCCTCTTGCCAGGGTCCTGGCACAGCTTTTCTGGCCAGGCGGGTCTCACAGATCCTGGGGTCACGCCTTCTGAGCCCAGACACCCCACCCCACTGCTCTCCCTGGTGCTTCTTGGAACTGCCCTGAGTGAGGGTGCAGGCCAGCTCCAGGCTCACACAGACTGCGGGCTGTGGTGGTCAGAGGCAGTGTGGTTGCTGAGAAGCAGCAGGCTCTCCTCCCTGCAGCATCACAAAGGTGTGAAGGCCAGGCTGGTGGGGCTGTGACACACTGAAGTCCCCATCTACCCTTGGGACCTGGAATGACTGCTGCCCACTGGCTTTCTGGGAGCATCCTGCCAGGGGACTTATGCCAGGAGTTCAGTGCAAGTTCCAGGTACAGAAGGGGCTTTGTGAAAGGGACTTGGGAGAGATGGGGTGTGAAGTTCTAGCCTGTCTCAGCCTTCAATCTGAGAGCACCCCCCCAACCCCAGCCACCAGCCTCTGTAGGTTTTAGCTCCTCCTGCAGTCGGATCCCCAAAGGCACCACGCCCACTATTCAGGCAGACCCGCTGCAGCTGCCTGGCAGATAGCCCTGTCCTGAGCAGTCTGGGCTGTGTTGTAGGCATCTGCAGGGAGCACGGCCTTGCCACTGACCAGCATGCCCCAGGCTGGGTGGTTCTTGGGCTCTCACACGAGGGGCTGGAGCTGCGTGGAAAGGAATCAGAAAGAGCACCTGAACCAGGCAAGAGGGCGGCAAGGATCCAGAACAGGGTATTGAGGAGGCTTTGCCAGGGCAGGAGCCTAGGCCTGTGCCGCATGCCCCCCACCTTGGAGGCCTGTGGAAAGGAGAGGTCCATGGGGAGCTCAGCCCCCCAGGGAGGCAGGACATCTAGCTGTGATCAGTGTGACTGTCCTGTTATCACAGCTCCATTCTCACAGACACGGCATTCCTGCAGCTACAAAGAGTGGGGTACAGGCACTTGAGACTGGCTCCTGCGCCTGCTGGCTGCCCTCCGCCCCTGATTGTTCCACTCTCCGGATGTCCTTTCTGAACTTCAGAAGCCTCCTGTCCTTGACTGGGCCTGCATGTGGGCCTTTGAAGGGCCTAGTCTTCCTCCCCTTTCAGCCCCACTTCCCATCTTGGCAGGGCCATCTGAGCAGGAGGGCTGTGGCGGGAAGAACAGAGCCTCTGGCCTGGGGAGGGGCCAGAGCCCCTGCCTCGGCCTTGGCCTCCTAGGGTGCTGGCTGGCTGCCTGAGGAGGCCGGGTTAGGGGTGGCTGGACAAGGCTGCTCCACTTTCAGATGGGCAGGCACCGAAGGACTCTAGGGGTTGGGGGCTGGCAGGTTGGGTGTGAGCCTCAGATGTTTCTGGGAGAGCGGAGAGAAATTGAGAGGGGAGGCCGAGGCATTGGGGTAGGCAGCATGGCCTAGGGTAGCAGGCCTGGATCTCAGCCCTCTCAGCACCAATCCTGAGGTGCTGGGGGCCTGCCCTTTCCTGTCCACTCTGGGCTGGGAGCTGGTAGAGCCACTTCCAGCTCCTTCCTGTCTTCCCTCCCACTGGGCAGTGATCAGAGACATTCGTGGAACTCTGCCCTGCCCATGTGTGTGTTTGTGCAAGGTGTACCAGTCACGAGGGTCACACAGGAGCCTGGCTTTGCCTGACCCTGGGGGACACACATGACCCAGAGAGAAGGGGGCAGGTGGCCCTGAGCCCAGGGGCAGGGGCTGGAGGTGGATAGTCTGAGGAAACCACTGCCCTTTGAAGTCTCCAAGGGCTTCCTGTGGGTGCCTTGTAGGAAATGGGGCAGGCATCAAAGTAACAGGAAGAAGATGCTAGGGACAAGTCCTTGAGAGCCACTGACTTCCTGTGGCTGAGCCCAGGGGCATCATCCCTCAGGAGGCAGGATGGCCCTGCCTGCTGGCCTGCCCAGGTCAGGGCTCCCTCCACCTCCAGCTGGACAGCAGCCAGCCAGAGGCTCCAAGGCTCACAACCCAGCCCAAAGGGCTCCCTCAGTCCTGGTGGTGGGAGAGTTTGGAGGAGACTGCATAGGGAAGGCAGCAGCTGAGGCAGTGCCTAAGGCACCTGGCTGTCCCCTGAGCAGTAGCAAAGTCTGAGCCACAAGGCTCACTGTTCTTGTCCCACCACAAGGAGAAGTCCCTTTGGTTCCTTGAAACCAGAGAAGGGCCAGGCAAGGCATGGCTGCCACATGCCACCTCCTTTCCCAGGTGTGTGACCATCTCACCTGAGCTGACCTGTGAGTGCTGGGACAAGGCTCACCTGGCTTTGATTGAATGACTGAAGGCAGAGCCTCCACCTTCCTGCAGTCCTGTGGTTCTCAGCTCAGTGGAGTCCTGATATAGGTGTGGGCTCTGATGCAACTGCAGGTGACACTTGGGTAAAGGGACAGTCATGCCCCTTGATTTGGGTCTACTCAGACCCCATTGCCTGATGTGGGGACATGGGACAATGGTCCTTTAAGACCCTCTGGCCACCCCTACCTCCTCTGGGGAACTTGCTGCCCACCCTTACGGGGCTACTTGGGCTTCCTTTAGTCTAAGAAGTGGTGTGATCCTCACTGCAGCTTCCAGGGGGGTGATCACAGCACCCCCTTCCCAGTCCCAGCCACCCTGTGGCTCGGTGTATGACCTATCCTCCAGGCTCAGTGCCAGTCCTCCCACCCACCTGTGCAATAAATAAGTCAGAGGACACCATGAGATCTGTCTGAGGGGCATGAGTTGCCTTGAGAGCTGTAAAGACTACTCAGGTCTTCAGGGAGCCCACCTGAGATTGAAGGCAGCCAGGGGCAAGCAGAGCTGAGAGGTGGAGAGAGGCAGAACCCTGAAAACATCCTGGGATCACCTGGATCCAGCTGTGCCTGAAGTCACACCCCCCCCCAACATGGACTTGGAGCCCCAGGATCCCCAGTCTTCCCAATCTGCCCAGCCTATTTTCTACAGTTACCCATTTTTCTCAGTTCCAGTCTCCAATTACTCCAGTACCTAGCCACCATCCCAAGCCTTGACTCCTCCGGTTCCCCAAATTTTCCAGCCTTCAGACCCCCGACTCAACTCCTGCAGTTTGCTTCAGCACCAGCCCTGGTGGTAACTCCCAAGAACTGAATAGCAGGCCACCCCCATCTGACCAGCCTGGAACCCTGTGGTTCCAGCACTGCAATGGGGAGGAGCAGGCCCTCTGGTGGCTGAGTTTGGGTGACTGCTGGCTTAGTGGGTAGGGTGGGGAAGAGGATGGCGGCTCTTAATTCAGAAAAATAAAGTGCGCTGCCCTCCGCACTGAGAGCCCTGGAGCCAAGCCCTGACATCATCACCTTGGGCAGGGAGCCACGTGCCCGGAAGGGTGTGCCTGCCTGGATCATGCACACTCAGCACGGTGGAGCCTCTAGCTGGGTGGAGGCCAAGCTGGCAAGTGTGCCTTTGACTTCCCTTGAGAGCCCACCCTGGGGGCTTTTCGGGTGGTCCAGCTAAGGAAGGTCTTGCCTGCTTCCCCACCTGGCTGGGCTCTAGGTGTTCTGAGAGGGACAGATGCCCCAGGAACCCTCCCTTGCAGGTAGGGAACTGGTCAGGGCAGAACCCCTGCTAAGGAGCTCGAGGTGGGGGCCCAGGGGAGGGAGACTACACAGAGAGTAACAGGGAGCTGCCAAGGGAATGATTAACTCTCCCTTGGCAAGGAGAGATGAATCAATGCCACATGTCCAGGGTCTGAGCCCTCACAAATGCTTCAGGGAGAGGATGAGAGAGGGCTTGGGTCTCACTACCCCTCCCTCAACTGTCACAGACAGACCCCAGCTCACACTTGCTTAAATGGGCAAGGAATGTGTGAGCCCGCATAACTGGGAAGCCCAAGGAAGCCAGGGGTGCTGGGGGTGGAACTGGTATGTGAAGAACTTTTAAGACTTCAAATAAACTAAGTGCATCCAGCAAAGATGGAAAAATATACATTATTTAGAGCACACCCTTTCTAGGTATTTGTTTTGTAAGATTGGAGGCTGTCATTGTCTTTAAACTATTTCACAGCTTGGTAGATAACTAAATAACAATGTAAATAATTATCTGCTATGGACCTAAAAATAAATTCTGTCCCCTAAAGGTTCAGTTGATTTCACTCAGCCAGTGTTGGAAAAAGCCAGTTTTGCATCCATTTGTAAGTTAATTTCAACATTTGTTTGTTCCAGATAGACTTGTGATTCTTTGACTTCTCCTTTGAACCAGTTGTAACAACATTCTGGGCTCCCTCATTAATAATGACTTAAATAAAATCTGATGTGTTCATTTTATATCAGTGTAATAGTTATGATTTTACCTTTTTTCTGAAATTAACCTGTGGCAGTTTTGGAGGTCTTCACCCAGCTGCCCGGTGTTTCCCTGACAGAGCTGGGTGAACTGTTTCCTGAGTGGTTTCTTGACAGGCCGCCGAAGCCCAGGCATGTCTTCTCCTGGTTCCCAGGGAAGGAGTCTAAAGTGGCAATAGAATTATGATTTTCTAATTGTAATTGTTTTCATTTTAATTTTCCTCTCAAATGATTTTGTGTTTTGTTTTTGGTTTTTGTTTGTGGCCAATAAGTATTCCTGTTGCCGGAAGCAGCAGTGAGCACTGGGTTCATGGTCTGACCAGTTGGTGAGATCTTTTTTTTTTTTTTTTTTTTTTACTAAGCCAATATTTTATTTGCATATGAATTTTTCCTTTCTTATTAATTTTTAATCATCGTAGGACTCTATACATAATTAGAGATCTGTAAATGGACCGATGGTTCATAGAATCTAGTGTTTGCTGGGTGGGAGAAAATGGAGAATCCAGGTCATTTATCTTTGCCCATTTATCTGTTGTCCATAGATTGGCTGAATAGCAGATTTGAGCAGGCAGAAGAAATAATCAGCAAACTTGAAGATAGGTCAATTGAAATCATCCAGTCTGAGGAACAGTAGGAAAAGAGAACGAAGAAAAATGGGG